TTTTTTTTTTTTTTTTTTTTTTTTTTACCATATCAACCTTTGTAATCACCAGAAATGTATTCATTAAGACAGAGATGAGGTGGCAAACATGAGCCAACGATTATGCAGTGATCTCAGTCCCCATCTGAAACTCTCCTTTTAAAATCCCACTTTCCTGGGGCACCTGGGTGGCTCAGTTGGTCAAGCATCTGACTCTTGATTTGGCCTCAGGTCATGATCTCACGGCTCGTGAGATCGAGCCCCACGTCGGGCTCTGCACTGTCAGGGCAGAGTCTGCTTGGGATTCTCCGTCTGCCTCTCCCCTGCTCTCTCTTTCTCTGTCTCTCTCAAAACAAATAAATAAACATTATTTTTAAAAAATCCCACTTCCCTGACATGACCGTCTATTCTTCTGCTGACTTTTTCAGGCCTTGTTCCCTGGAGCTGTTCTTTGACCCCAGCTGTGCCCTCCAGTCCATCAACCTCTCTCTTGTCCCACTGGATTTCTTGCCTTTCCTTAGTGCATCTTTATAGTTCTTCCCTTGCCCACTGAATATGGCCGACCCCGTGTGCTGCCCACTGTCCCTCCTGTCTTCTCGTTCTGGAAGAACCCAGTCCCAACACCTGCCTTCTCTGTGCCTGCCTCCCAGCTGATAGGGGATTTGGGGAAAAATCTCAAAGATTGGTATTATTTCAATAATGTTCAACAATCTTGACACTGCCCAGTAATCTTATTGTGTCTTTCTAATTAGCTGGCTGCCCCCTGCTCTGCAAACACCTGACTTCCCCTTCCTCCGGCCCCCTCACTCTGAGCCAGCGACTTCGCTTTCACACTTCTCGGAGAGAGTAGGTACCACCAAGAGGAATGCACCCTCCTTCCCTCTGCCGAATCTGCACGCCTCCCAGTGTTTGCACTTCACTCCCTTTCCTTGGCAAGGTTGGGATCCGCTGCCGTGAATCCAGCCAGGGCCAAGGACGGGGGCCTCCGTTCTGCTCCATGGGGGCCTCTCCGTGTGCCTGGCTTCCCAGGGCAGCTCCCAAAAGAGGACACTAATCGGAAGCTGCATCGCCTTTGAGGCCCTACCTCAGAAGTCACGGGGCATCTTTTCCAAAGTGCTCTATTGCTTAAGGCATTCACAGAGACCTGCCCCGGGGGCAAAGGGACGAGACGAGGAGATGCACACTCGGCCACTTGACAGAGGAGTAGCAGGTTCTGGAAGAGCATGTGGGACGGACACGTGGTCCTGAGACTTTGAGGGAAATACAATCTGTTGCAATTGATCCTTTTCCTTTTTTTTCTTTTAGAAAGAGAGCGAGAGAGCAAAAGCATGGGTGCATGTGTGCACCTGAGCAGGGGAGAGAGGCAGAGAGAGAGAGAGAGAGAGAATACCAAAGCAGTCTCCATGCTCAGCACCCACGACGCTGGGATCATGACCTGAGCCGAAATCAATAGTTGGACGCTCATCTTACGGAGCCACCCAGGTGTCCCTGCTCTTTTGCTTCTAGTTCTCGTTTAGAGTCTGGGTTCCATTTCACCCATCTGTCTAGATTAGTTGCCCCAGACAAGTCAAGGCATCCCCTTCCCGCCTTTGCGGTTCTTATAAAAATTTTGCATTACACAATTATTTCTGTGGCAGTTTTGTTTATCATCTGTTGTTCAATGTCTGTCGCTAGTGTAGACTGGGTGCTTCTCAAGGACAGGACTATGTTTTTCCTACTCACCCCTGATCTTTAATGTCTCCCAGTACCTGGCATGCAACAAGCCCCAAATAAACACCCACCCATGAATAATCTGACGAGGGGTGAATAAAATCTGCCGCCCCCACCCCCTAAAATAACATGAATTCAGATGGCCTTCGGTCGTGAGTTCATCCTGAACTCATACATCAAGTGACTGCAAACGGAAAGGGGTGAGATGCAAACTGCAGTTGTAACGTGGTAAACGGCGTTGATTCCGCTGGTGTTGGTAGATGTTCAGCCCAGAAAACCACAGAAGCAAGTGGGCGTTGCTCCAAAGGAGGCACTTTCAAAACCAGGGGCACTTTCAAAACTTCTCTTGGAAGTTTCGTCTGAGAGACTGGTTACTACTCAGAGGGCTGATGTCCTTCAGCTAGAGGGGATCTGGCAAAATGCACAGAAAGGAGAACTCCTCTCCCTGACTTTAACCTGTCCACCTTCAATCAGAGACTCTGGACTCAGATTAAATAAAGGAATGGTAAGTAATTCATTTAAACTCAGAATTCTAAACTGTTAGCCAATGGGTGCAGTTTTTTTTTTTCATCTATAACAACATAAAAATTCTTATTTTCCTAAGGTAATTGGTAGGAAGGTTCACACTGAACAAATTAAGAAAAGATATGAAAGTCTGGGAGCCTTGGACTGTGTCGATTTCTGAAAGAATGACTGGTTAGCTCAAAGTAATGAATAATTAATGGGATTTCGGTGCCCTCCCTCAGGAGTCTAGACTAGGAATGTAATGAGAGCCACAGATGTGAGTCACATATGTAAATCAAATTGTCTAGTAGCTGCATGAAAAGAGCAAAAAGAAAAAGGTGAAATTAATTTTAACAACGTGTTAATTTAACCCCATCTATCTAAAATATTATCACTTTAACATATAATAAATATGATGTTATTAACGAGATATTTGACATTCCTGTTTTTGGTACCTCATCTTGGAAGTACGGTATATATCTCACACTTACAGCACATCTCAGTTCCAACTAGTCACCTTTCAAGTGCTCATTAACTACAAGTGCCTGGTGGTTACATTTTGGAGATAAGGTTCAGGCCGAAAGCCAGGCCTCTTGTACCAAGTCGCCAAGCTGAGAATGTAAAGGAAAAGTTCTCGAAGGGAATTAAAAGAGCTCCTCGAGTGAACCCACAAATGATAAGAAAGCAAGAGTCTTGTTGCTGATACGGAGAAAGTCTGAGTGGTGTGGATAGAAGATCAAAGCAGCTACAACATTCCCTTAAGCCAAAGGCTAATCCAGGGCAAGGCCTTAACTCTCTTCAATTCTGTGAAGGCCCAGAGAGGTGAGGAAGCTGCAGAAGAAAAGTCTGAAGCTAGCAGAGGTCGGTTCGTGAGGTTTCAGGAAAGAAGCCGTCTCCATAACATAAAGTGCAAGGTGAGGCAGCAAGTGCTGACGGAGAAGCTGCAAGTTACCCAGAAGGTCTCGCTCGGATAATTCAGAAAAGTGGCTACACTAAACAGACTTTCAATGCAGATGAAACAGCCTCCTATTAGAAGAAGATGCCATCTGGGACTTTCACAGCTGAAGAAAAGTCAAGGCCTGGCTTCAAAGTTTCAAAGGACAGGCTGACTCTTTTCTTGTTAGGGGCTAATGCAGCCGTGACTTTACACTGAAGCTAATGCTAACCATTCTGAAAGTCCTAGGGCCCTTTAGAATTACACTAAATCCACTCTACCTGTATCCTATAAATAGAACAAAGCCCGAATGACAGCACATCTGTTGACAACGTGGGTTACTTAATGTTTTAAGCCCACTGTTGAGACCTACTGCTCAGAAAAGAAAAGATTCCTTTCAAAAGATTACTGCCCGTCGACAATGCTGCTGGTCACCCAAGACCTCTAACGGAGATGGACAATGAGATTAATGTCATTTGCAGGCCCTCTAATACAATGTCCATTCTGCAGCCAATGGATCAAGGAGTTGTTCTGACTTTCAGGTCTTATCATATCATAAGGCTATAACTGCCATAGGTCGTGCTTCCTCTTAGATCTGGGCAAAGTAAATTGAAAACCTTCTGGAAAGGATTAGTGATCCAGGATACCATTAAGAACATCCATGATTCATGGGGAGAGATCCAAATATCAGTATGAACAAGAGTTTGGAAGAAGTTGATTCCAAGCCTCGTGGATGACTGGGAGGGGTTCAGGACTTGAGTGGAGGAAGTCACTGCAGACGTGGTGGAAATAACAAGAGAACTAGAACGACAAGTGGGGCCTGACGATGTGACAGAATTTCTACAATCTCAGGGCAAAACGTGAACAGATGAGGGGCTGCTTCCCATGGACGAGCAAAGAAAGTGGTTTTGTGAGATGGAGTCCACTCCTGGGGAAGACGCTGTGAAGTCTGTGGAAATGGCAGCAAAGGAGTTAGAACACAGAATATGACATAAACTTAGCTGATAAAGCAGCAGTAGGGGTGCCCAGGTGGCTCAGTCGGTTAAGCGGGCAGCTCTTGATTTCAGCTCCGGTCATGATCTCACAGTTTGTGAGATCGAGCCCCACCTCGGGCTCTGTGCTGACGGTGTGGAGCCTGCTTGGGATTCTCTCTCTCCTCTCTCCGCCCCTCCCCTGCTCACTCTTTCTATCTCTCTCTCAAAAAAAAAAAAAAAAAAGAAAGAAAAAAAGAAAAGATAAGAAAAAGAAAAAGAAAAAGCAACAGCAGAGTTTGAGAGGACTGACTTCAATTTGGAAAGACGTTCTGTTGTGGGTAGAATGCTATCAAACAGCATCACATGCTACAGAGAAATGTTTTGTGAAAGCAACAGCCAATCGATGGGACAGGCTTCATTGTTGTCTTATTTGAAGAAATTGCCACAGCCACCACAACCTTCAGCCATCACCACCCCGAGGAGTCAGCAGCCTTCAACATCAAGCCTCCAACCAGCAAAATCATTATGACTCACCGAAAGCTCGGATAAGGGTTAGCATTTTCTAGCAAAAAATTATTTTTCCATCAAGGTATGTACATTGTATTTTTTAGACATAATGCTATTACACATTTAGGCTACAATATAGTGTAAACAAACTTTTAATATGCACTGGAGAACCAAAACATTCATTTGACTTGCTTTATTGCAATATTCCCTTTATTGCCGTGCTCTGGAACCAAACCTACCATATCTCTGAGGTATGTCTGTGTGCCATGATACATGTGCCCATTTATTTGGTTAACTTATGTTTCCCCTAGAAGACAGAAAGTCTTGCATATAAAACATTATTCTAGTCCCTAGATCTAAAGCACTGAACCAGAATTTGAAGTATGTCCCTGCTTGTCTAAGGTTTAATTTGTAGTGGAGGGACACTGAAAATAAACACATGAATGAGCACGCCGGCCATATCATGTATCACATCCTTCCATGGTCTATCATCTCATAAATCACTTAATGAGAAAAGCAATGCAGAAAAACAAAAGAGGTAAGGGAATAAAGAACAATATGGGAGAGGTAAGGTCTCTTGTTTTAAGCAGAATGCTGAGGGAGGAGTTCACTGCTGATGCCTGAACAGACATGAATGAAGTGAAGGAGCGAGCCATGCAGGAATCTGGAGGGAGTGAAGTCTCAGCAAGAAGAATAGTAAGTACTAGAATGTTCGTTGACATGGAGAAGTACTTGGAGAAAACTGAGTAGTGGGAGGTGGGAATCAAGATTTCAGTTGGGCCCTTTAAAAATTGAGTCGCCTACCTAGTAGGGGTGATATTAAAAAATATCAACAGATAGGGGCACCTGGGTGGCTCAGTCAGTTAAGCGTCCGACTTCAGCTCAGGTCATGATCTCGCGATTCATGAGTTCGAGCCCCGCGTCTGGCTCTGTGCTGACAGCTCTGAGCCTGGAGCCTGCTTCAGATTCTGCGTCTCCCTCTCTCTCTGCCCCTCCCCTACTCATGCTCTGTCTCTCTCTGTCTCTCAAAAATAAATAAAAACATTAAAAAATATATATATCAGCAGATGGGACACCAGGCTGGCTCAGTTGGTGCAGCATGTGATTCTTGATCTCACGGTTGTAAGTTTGATCCCCATATTGGGTGCAGAGATTACTTAAAAATAAAATCTTAAAAAAAAAATCGACAGATGTTCAACAGATGCTGGCCAATCAGAAAGGATTCTCCACTATTCAGAGCTGATGACACTTATAAACCAATGATAATACCATACTGAAACTTGCCAGTGAGTGTTAGCTCTGCCTATGAGATGTCCAAGTGGAGACATGTGATTCTGGAGTTCAGGAGAGGATCAGGGCTGGTGATGAGTGGTTTAAGACCATAGGATTATGGGAGGTGACAGGGAGGGGAAAGTGGGTGACGGACATTGAGGAGGGCACCTGTCAGGATGAGCACTGAGTGTTGTATGGAAACAAATTTGACAATAAATTTCATATTAAAAAAAAAAAAAAGACCATGGGATTGATGAGATCATCAACTGAGTGGGTGTAGAGATATACAAATGAAAAGGTCAAGCACTGAGAAAGATAGCCTGCAAAGGTGAGAAGTGACCATTGAGGTAGAGGAAAACCAAGTAGGGGTGGTGTCCTAGGAGCCAAAGGGAGAATGTATTTCAAGGAGAGAGCAATCTATGGTGACAAGTGCTGTTGCAGGGTTAAGAAAATCACCGAAGACCCATCGTTGGATTGGAAACGTGGAGGTCATTGGCTTTGACCAGGACAGTTTTAGTGGAGTCGCTGGGATAGAAGCCTGCTTGGAATGTGATCAAGAGATGACCAGAGCTGGAAAGTCTGCTTAACTCTTTGAAGACTGTGTGCTGTAAAGGGGAGCCGAGACATGGGGCTGGAGCAGGAGAGGGATGTAGGGACGACCAAGATATGTCCGTTATTTGTTTCTTTGTTCCAGATGAGAGAAATTACGGTGTTTGCTTACTGATGGAAACGATCTGGCATAGAAGGCATCAATGAGAAGCTACTGCAGAGCAAATCTTTGAGCAGGTGGAAGGAAATTGAATGGAGCGCAGAATAGAACATAGACAGGTACATAGTTCATCCTTTGCACCAGGGAAGGCAGAGTTTGTGGGCATGGATGTGGGATTGGTAGGGTTGGTGGGGGAGAACGTAGAAGTTCTCTTCTTCTTGCTTCCACGCGCTCAGTGAGATACAAAACAAGATCAGTGTATTTGGAAGGCACTACTCCAAGATGCTATAAGTGTTCCGCTCTCATACGTGGAATTAGGGGCATTTTAAACGATCTCTTTGCCTTTTGTAGTTTTGATTTCTCTCCAGTGTGTAATATTATACATTTTTTCTGAGTAACATGTGTCTTCTCCCACTGTCCTCCTTTTCTGCCGCTCAGAAAGATGATCCTGATCATCCTGCCACTCACCAGTTGTATGTCCTTGAACTAGTTACTGACATTTCTTTGTGTCTTAATTTCTTTATTAGCAACGTGGAGATGATAATGTCTGTGCTATTTAGTCTGCTGGGTTGGAACAGTATTAAATGAGAAAATGTATGCAAAAATAATTTAAAAAGAATCAGCATGGATATAAAATGTTCCTAGTGTGGTTATTTCTGGTCTGTGTAGGGAAGTCTGAGGCAGGGGCGGAATCTAAGAATAGGCCGATCATCCGACCACCTCTTACGAGCTAAGTCCTGAGAGCAAAAACTACTTTTCTGATTCCAACAGAGCTGCCTCCTTTTATCAAGCGTCTAATTAAGATTAAAAGCTTTGTGCCCAACTCTAGAAAACAAAATAGGAAGCATGTTTCCTTTGCTGTTACGTTAAGTTAACTTTATTACTTGGCACTCTAAGTGAAAATGTTTCCTACTGGGCCAGGTTTCTCTAGTTGGCTTCAGATACATTAATTGTGACATTTACCACAATTTTTGCATTTGTATTCAAAACCACCCAGAGACTATATGGCCCTGATTATTCTTTTGTTATTTTTTTTCTCAAATTACCGTGATCTCATTGTTAGATATGCTTCAGCACATGGGTTCTGCCGGCTTGTCATCATTAGACACATTCATAGAAATCTATAAATAAAAAAAAAAAAATCACAAGATGAAGATAACACCACTTATTTAAGACACTTTGTATGAATTAAGTAATGATAGTGGAGTCGCATAACTCTTCTGCAAGTACAATCCTGAAGTGCTTTTGTGTTTCTTGGCATTTGAATATTTCATTGTGAGCCTCGAAGATTATAAAATGGAAAGACAAGGACTGGGTGGTTGTTGTTGTACCATGTGGACACGATTGAAGATAAATGCTCATTAATCTTTGCTTTCAACTTATTTACAACCTCTCCGTTTTTACTGTAAGACTGTATAACCCCAGCATTAAAGAACGTTTTGAAAAATAAGAAAAACACCACCGTCTATCTCATCATCTGAATGTAACAATTTTCCCTTTTGTGTATTCTTTTTTTTTGTTTATTTAAAAAAAATTTTTTTTAACGTTTATTCATTTCTGAGAGGCAGAGTATGAGCGGGGAAGGGGCAGAGAGAGAGGGAGACACAGAATCCGAAGCAGGGTCCAGGCTCTGAGCTATCAGCACAGAGCCTGATGCGGGGCTCGAACTCCCGAACTGCGATACCATGACCTGAGCCGAAGTCGGATGCTCAACCGACTGAGCCACCCAGGCGCCCCACCCCTTTTGTGTATTCTTGGTGCATCTTTGTTCTTCCACGTACATAGCTTTTCATGGTTGCAATCATAGTATGTATGCAGTCTTGAGTATAAATTTCTAGTGTTGCATTTATTTGTTTATTTATTTATTTATTTAAGTTTATTTATTTTGAGAGGGAGAGAGAGTGGGTGAGGAGTAGAGAGAGGGAGAGAGAGAGAATCCCACACTGTCAGCATGGAGCCCAACGTGGGGCTCGAACTCATGAACCACGAGATCATAACTGATGAGGTTTTGGGGGGGTGATAGTGGGGTTCATGGAGTCCAGAGCTGATGATCAAGAAATAATTTTTGAAGATGTGTTTGGGGCAAAAAGGTGATTTTGTTGAAGCACAGGGACAGGACCATGAGGAGAAACTGGGTCTATACTATGGGGGTGGGGGAGGTAAAGTCCAGGGGAAGTTTCCAGTGAGATTTTTATATGCTAAAGAAGAACCACAGGATTCTGGAGGCCTAGCTATTGTCAAGCTAGGATTGTTTTTCCCTCTAGCAAAGCGTTAACATTAAGACAGTAAGGAGTTCCTGGAGAAACACTTTACTCTGCCAGCCTCAAATATTTGCCAACAGGCTACAGGTTGTAAGGAAATTTAGTTCTATCTGCCATTTCCTTCTGCCTCTGTTTCCCGCATCACTATGGAGGGGCGATGGAGACTTAGGTCCTGCTGGACTCTGCTGTCTATCAGTTAACCATTTGTTTTCCCCCTTTCTTTGTTCTTGGGCAGCCAGGAGTGCCTGAGGAATATCACACGTATCCCACCTGGTTTGGGGGGGTGGGTGTTTGTGGCCTATCAGCTTGCCTTATGCTCCCTCGTCAATAACCTGAACCAAAATCAAGAGTCGAATGCCTAACTGACTGAGCCCCGAGGTGCCCCTAGGATCGCATTTAAAAGAGGGTGTTCTGGGGTACAGAAAAATTGCCCAAGTTATGTTTCTACCTTCTGTTAAAACTAGACTGTAGTAGAAAAACCCTGAGGTCAGACCTTACAGAGAGGAAAACCCTCGTGGTGGGGGGGGTGGGGGGTGGTTGGAACACAAACTGGCTGGTTATGGCTGATGTCTTCTCAGGCGGTCCTTGATTAAAATTTTGAGTACTTTTGGCTTTGACGTTGATGAAGATCTTATGGTTTATACTATCTCAGAACAAATTTCAACAATGAAATGTATTTCACAATTGCCGTCTCTAATTTCACGGACCATCATGTTTCACGATTGTGTATGGTAGATTGATTGCAAACGTGGGGCCAAATTTTCATCCCTCCTTGGACCCACATCCTTGCCACATGACTTTGCCGCCATTCCCTGGAATGTGGGTGGGCTTCTATTATGCTTTGGCCCATGGAATGCAGTGGAAGGTGATGGAATGTCAGTTCTGAGCTTAGGACTCAGAGCGTGTGCGCACATCCACTCCAGCCTGGGCTAGCCTGATGGAATATAAGAGACCGAGTGGATCAGGGCCAAGGGAGCCCAATGGAGGCTCAGCCCCGGCCAACCACAGCTGCCCACAGAGGCATGGGTGAGCCCCATCAAGGTGAGCCGATCTCGCCCAGCTGAGCAGAACCACCCAGCGGAGAAGTCATCCCAGGCTGTTGCTTTTTTCAGCCACTAAGCTGTGGGCGATTTATTGTACAGCCTTAGTTGGGTAATATGTAACCGATAAAAAGTTCTATCACATTTTGACCTTTCAGACAATTCTAATTTCTCCCCTTGGGTTTCTGCTGTAACATTAAGTTGCAGAATTGGAGTGGAAGAACATGCCCTATTGCCATTGCCATCACCCTTCTTCCACAAAAGGCTAAAGATTTGTGAAGACTGTAGATTGACTGAAAAGGACTTCGACTCTCCATTGAATGCTTGCGCTCAGACGATCTACCCGAGGGCTTGTGTCCTGCTTTCTTCAATGAGGTGAATGTGAGGTAAGACTGCCTTTATTTTATTTTATTTTCTCTCTTTTTATCCAATCTATCAAGCCTACAATCTGTTCTTGGTAGATTTTCAAGTGAGCAGGAAACTAGAAAAGATAAAGGTTTGAGTGGTATTGTTACAGGAGAAATGGTCTGGATGGCCGCAAGGTAGCATCTAATTAACCTCAGATGCTGGCCCCGAGGCTCCTGATAATAGAAGTGCCCAATGCACAAAGAACTAACAAACTGCCTGAAATTCAAGCAATTCACCTTTTTGTAGGGGCGATTCTGCGGCTGTTGTTATTTATTTTCATTCCAATATTAAATGATTTAGGATATAAATGTGCCTTTATTCCCACGCGGTGTTTCTCAACACAGCAGCGGGTATAAGAAATTCCTCCTATGAAATTATGCTGTTGCACGGGCTCGGGCAGCTCACAGGTCAGGCGAGTTCCCAGGGAAAGCAACAACCCTTCAGCACACAGCAAGAATGACATAGCCAGTCTTGTCCCCTCTGTGGTACTGAGTTCCTGATTTCTTCTTCTTTTTTTTTTTTTAGTTTTTTTTTAATTTGCATCCCAATTAGTTAGCATATAGTGCAACAATGATTTCAGGAGTAGATTTCTTAGTGCCCCTTGCCCATTTAGCCCATTCCCCCCTCCTACAACCCCTCCAGCAACCCTCTGTTTGTTCTCCATATTTATGAGTCTCTTCTGCTTTGTCCCCCTCCTTGTTTTTATATGATTTTTGCTTCTCTTCCCTTATGTTCAGCTGTTTTGTATCTTAAAGTCCTCATATGAGTGAAGTCATATGATATTTGTCTTTCTCTGACTAATTTCGCTTAGCATAATACCCTCCAGTTCCATCCACGTAGTTGCAAATGGCAAGATTTCATTCTTTTTGATTGCCAAGTAATACTCCATTGTGTGTGTGTGTGTGTGTGTGTGTGTGTGTGTGTGTGTGTGTATACATATATATACCACATCTTCTTTATCCATTCATCCATCGGTGGACATTTGGGCTCTTTCCATACTTTGGCTATTGTTGGCTATTATTGATAGTGCTGCTATAAACATGGGGGTGCATGTGTCCCTTCGAAAGAGCATACCTTTATCCCTTGGATAAATACCCAGTAGTGCAATTGACTTCTTCTTAATACACCCTGATGAGGAGGGTGATTAAGTTATTCAAGGAAGAGGAAGAATGGACTTAATCTTCTCTTCCTTCAGTTTTAAACATTCATTTTATATGTTCCATTACAAAAATACACACAATTATTTTTAGAAAATTGCAAAATACAGAAAAAATAGGTAGAAAAGTAGTCCCTCAAAACCCTATGAATACTTTTGGGATATTCTTTTCCAGTGTTTTAAATTATTTTTTCTTTTTAAAAAAATTTTTGATGTTTATGTATTTTTGAGAGGGAGACAGAGCATGAGTAGGGGAGGGGCAGAGAGAGAGAGAGAGAGAGAGAGAGAGAGACAGAATCCGAAGCAGGCTCCACGGTCTGAGCTGTCAGCACAGAGCCCCACAAAGGGTTCCAACCCACGAATCATGAGATCATGACCTAATGCGGAAGTCGGACGTTTAACCGACTGAGCCCCCTAGGTGTCCCTCCAGTGTTTAATTTTCTATAAATGATTGCAAATGCAAATAAATAAACAGAAGATACTCATAAATAAGGGTAAGAGCAAAGTCAGAAATTCTAGTGGATTTGGAAGACAAGTACAGGGCCATTCCTTCCTCTAAAGAGTAAGGGCAAGGGGTGCCTGGGTGGCTCAGTCATTTAAGCATTCAACTTCGGCTCAGGTCATGATCCCACGATTCGTGGGTTCCAGCCCCGTATTGCACTCTGTGCTGACAGCTCAGAGCCTGGAGCTTTCAAATTCTGTGTCTCCCTCTCTCTCTGCCCCTCCCCACTCACACTCTGTCTGTCTCTCTTTCTCTCTCTCTCAAAAAATAACTAAACATTAAAAAAAATTTTTTTTTTAATGAAGAGTAAGGGTAATCATGATGTCATGAGGTGGGGAGGAGGGGAAAGTACAATGAAGACTTAGGCTGGTACCTGGCAGTAAAATTCACTATTAATCACAATAAATGGAGCAAACAAACATCAATCTGGAGCTTTGTAAGTGCCAGGCACCGTTCTAATCGCTTTCTCTATATTAACTCATTTAAACTTGGCAACAACCCGGCCATTCAGGTGTCACTATCATCCTCACTTACACAGGAGGATTTGTTAGCTGGCTTGCCCAAGCGGGGAACTGCGATCCAAATTCACATAGCCTGTTTAAGGTGTCCTTGCTCTTAAAGGCTATGCGATTATCTTATTATTTTCTTTATTATAATTATCAATCTGGACTCCCCAGAGGACTCCAACACCTTGACCATTTAGAAGGGGCCCATTTGGCACAGCTTTGGAGAATTTCATGTCACCATTGCAATCATTTATTGGCTTAAAAGCATGTTCCTTTGGGGGCGCCTGGGTGGCGCAGTCGGTTGAGCGTCCGACTTCAGCCAGGTCACGATCTCGCGGTCCGTGAGTTCGAGCCCCGCGTCAGGCTCTGGGCTGATGGCTCGGAGCCTGGAGCCTGTTTCCGATTCTGTGTCTCCCTCTCTCTCTGCCCTTCCCCCGTTCATGCTCTGTCTCTCTCTGTCCCAAAAATAAATAAATGTTGGAAAAAAAAAAAAAAAAAAAAAAAAAAAAAAAAAAAAAAAGCATGTTCCTTTGAAACTGAAATCTGAGTGTCATTCGTCACCATTCATTTGTGTTATAGCCTGTCAGTACCTTTTCTTTTTTCCACTTTTCTTTCAGGACACAATAAATTATATTCAAATGGCAGTCATGGAGGAAACTTCCCTTTCCTTCCTCATCCACCAAGCTGATCGATGGGCGCTAAAGCCCCGGGGAAGCAGCATCTGTTGTAACTCAAGGATCCCTGCTCGAGCTGAGTATGAAATTAACAGACACAGAGCAGTTAGCAGCTCAACATTTGTTCAAGTCTGGCACATGCACACATCATTAGCAACTATATTTGAGGAGCAAGATCAAGGAGGTGAGGAAGAGGGTGTATCTGATTAAAGGGATATTCAGGAAAGAGGAAATTCAGAGCATTTAGGTAAAGCTTCATGGCTAAAATAAATGAACTGGAGAGCAGAGCAAACAGCCAGGGACATGGGATAATTTTGCCCGTGCAACTTCCCAAACAAAGTCATTTCACGCAGTGGATCCCCCAGAGTGGCTGGCTGCCTCTTTTACTTCAGCTCCATGGGCTGTCTCTCCATTAAAATTCGAGGGCAAAGATTTTGCTGTCCTGTTCACTGCTGTAATCTGGGCTCTTAGTAGATAAAATTAAATATTCATGGAATAAGTTAACGTATACTTGCTCAAAGCCTGCCTTGACCTGAGCTAGGCAAATAAAGCCTGAGATGTTCGGCAGGAATCCAAGGCAACGTGCGTGCCGGAAGAATGGCATCTTCCAACCAAAACTTGAGTGTTAATTAAAGTGTACAGAATTAGCCGGGAAATATTATGGGACTGCTTCTCACGTGCCCATTACTCTAGGCCCCGGAGGAGATACAGTAGAAGCACAATCACAAGGAACAGTGAATATTTGCTGAGGGCTTGCTATCGGCCAGGCATATGCTAAGCTCATTCCTCCCATTAGCGTGCCCAATTCTCCCAGTACCACCTACGGGGCAGGTGGGTAGCAGGCCATCGATCATCTCCAGCGGGTATTCAAGGCGACTGGTGCCAGGTCAATTTCATAATGCGCCCAGGGTCCTACAGAGAGTAAGCGGGGGAGCTGGGAGTCCCTTTGCTGTGCTCTCCCCCTCCATTCCCTGGGGCCCTTTAGGAACCTGCCCCTAATCTGAGGACACGAAAGGGGCACGTGTGAACAACGAAGCCTTAGCCTCGGTGGCCCTGGCAACCGAAAGCCGGGGAGTCAGTGTAGACTTTGACACAGAGCTCCCGGAAGGAGGCTGTACTTGGATCCGTCTTGAATTTCATCATGGGTTTGTTTGTATGCCGTCTCTCCGTTCTTCATCTACTCCTCCGTTCATCCTCCCTCCCACCCACCCAACAAGCATGTCCTGGGTTCCACGGTGCACCGGACGCCGAGCGCCAAAGAGGAATTTGTGCTGAGGTAGTCGCATGGGAGCCGCGTGTGCTCCTTGGCACGAGAGGGCCAAGATTACCACCCCCCCCCCCCCCCCCCCCCCACACACACACACACACGCCAGCAGAGGGGCTTCCCCAGCATGGGCGGTTTGGTGCTGTAAACACTGGGAACGCTCGTACCCTTGACCCAGCAATCTGACCTGCTGGAGTTGGCCCAGAGGAAAATGATTCGTGCCAAAGTCACTCCCTATAGCGCTGTTTGTAACGAGCACGTATTGGAAATAGCCACGTGTTCGTCCAGAGGGAACTGCTGAAAAAAACAAAACAAAAAACTCCGCAGTACCCCCAAAGAGATTACTAAGCAGCTGTGAAAAGGAGTGAAGAGGTGTAATGAAGTGATCTTTAAGACATTTGAATGAAAAACGCAAGGAACATACGAACGGTAGGCTACCGTTTGGGTCGAAGGTGGGAAATAGGAACATGCTGGGTAGGCTATCTAGAAAATACCGCTGGAAGGATACACCAGGCACTGATGATGGTCTGTGGGTTTCAGTGGAAGGCACAGGGACTTGAATGGCAAGAGGAGCAGGAGGGATGTTTGATGAAATACCCTTTTGTGTGTTTTGAATTTTGAAACTTGCACGCGTGTTATCTATATTCCCCTCTAAAAAGTAAACAAAAAATCATGGGCAAAGACCAAGTTACCAGTGGTTTATCTATGAGTGATGGAGTTTTAATTTTGGTCCTCCACATCTCTCAAGGCACTCAAGAGGGGAATCCTGTGTGCCAGGATGGGTCGGCAATCTGGAACCCTCCCTGCCTGACTCACGCCTGAAGTGCTGTGACATTTGCTTTCTGTCCTTGGCTGGACCGGGTACCTTTCCCAGGGTTCTCTTCCTTAGCAAGGGAGCTTATCCCCAGACCTGGTGTTTGCGGTTTGGAAGAGGGTGGTCAGGGTGGGCTTCACGGAGAAGGTGACATCCGTGCAGAGCTTGAAGTAGGTGAAGGAATGGTTCCCCTAAGGGCATTCAGGGGAAGGGAATTCCAGAAATACAGAACAGCAAAGTCAAAGAATGTGAAGTCATAGGGTGTTGGGCTGGGCAGCAGACCTTCCAAGAATGGAGTATACAAAAGGCAGAGAAGACACAAGACAAAGGCATAGTCCACAGTTGGGGTGTGGGTGAGGAAGGTGGGGATCATAGACAGCCTTCTACCCCTTTCCTGGAGATTCCACATCCAGACATCTGCCCATTTCTTGACTCTGATCTCATGTTCCAGGTCTACTAACTGGCCTGCTCCTGGGTCCCTGAGACCCAGTCCGTTGCTGTTGGCATCCCGGCCTTAAGCCCTGTTTCTGTAACCATCTCTGTGATCTGGTCTCTCCTGGCTGCCACCAAGGAATGGGGACCTGAATTCCATTCTGGGATGGAGACTGCTGCCAGTTCAGTCCCTGTGGGGACCACGGGCATTGTGAGGAGGGGAGACAGGAGTAGGGAATCCGTCTTTCAATCCCTGCTCTCACCAGTCTTCCTGCTACTTCAAGAACGGCACACCTTTTCTTCAGGTGCCTTTGAGCTCCCGAGTCCTCATCCTCAAACACTCCTCCCCTACTTTGTGGTCACACAGTAGTCTTGTGGTCTTGTTTCACTCAGAAAATGAGCGGTCCTCAAATGTCCTCTTTGGAGAAACGTTCCCTGACCTCCTGATGGAAGACGGCTGCCTCTGCCCCTCTATTCCTTTACCCAGTTGAACGTCTTCACCCCGTATATGGACGTGTTTAGTCTCTGTCTCTCCTCTCTTAAATACAAGCTTGAGGATAGTAAGAACTTTATCCAGAATCCCAACCCTGGCAGATAGTTGGGCCTCCTGGAACTTGCCTCGGTGAATGGGTCTGGTTCCAGATTTTGGTCCCTCCAAGTCAACTGTGTCCCACTAGAAAACCAGACTCTGCCTGTCGGGGGGATGGAGATTCCTAGGAGTTAGGAGGAGATGTGTGGGTGAACAGAATGGCATTATGGGCAGGCACTCCAGGAACACCGTTCCCCATCCTGAAGCAGAGGGTTGTGGAGGCAAGGGCAGCATTTGCCAACATTTTACATGAAAAAAAAAAAAAAAAATACAGGGACCTTTTACCTTCTCAGAATCATGCTTCTCTTGGTCTTATCAGCTTTAAGGTGAGTGTAAAGTGCTCATAATTTTAAGGTTCACAACTGTTGTAAGGTGACGATCTACTTTTTTTTAAATGTTTATTTATTTTTGACAGAGAGAGACAGAGCATGAGCGGGGGAGGGGCAGAGAGAGAGAGGGAAACACA